GGGCGCTGTGTCCCCGGGCGCACGGGGCGGAACTGCCTGGCTGGGGGCCCCCGATGGGCACAGGCATCTTGGGCCCCTGGGCTAAGTTGCCGCCATCTTCGTCCTGGAGAAACACTTTTTTGGGGGGAGCTCTGCCTTTTGCGTCATCTCCTCCCGCGCCGAGATCTCTCTATCCTGGCGCATTGGCAGCAGCAGCAACTCTGCCTCCTCCTGCCTGAGGAGGAGGAGGAGGAGGTGGGAGAGGCACTGGGGACCACATGGCCCCTCGAAAGGGCTTCCTCGGTGCGACTCTTTCTACTCGTCTCACCGAAGGGACCACTCAGTACCACCCTCTAGCCCTCTCTCCTTCAGGGTCTCCTTCCCTTTGTGGCCCTGAAACACCATGTCCGTGCAGGATGGTGTCTGGAGAGGTCTGTCGCCGTGTCTGTCCTTGTCATAGCAAATCACAAATGACATATGAAACTCCAGGTGCTGGATCCTGGCAGGTTTTGGCCCCACGGTAAAATGCCTGAACACAGCTGCCTGTCTTTCAGTCAGCGAGCTGGAAAGCATAATGCCCATAAACCCCAAGCTGTTCCCCCAAGAGAACTTTTGCAAAACCCTGGTCCAGCACCTGAGCGGAGTAAATACTGCCAGTTTTTGTGTTTCACCTTTTAGACGTCACTGCCTGGCATGAGAGATGGAGAGACCAGGCTTAAGTCTCCTGCTAGGGTGATGAATTGCATATGATCTCCACTCAGACCCACAGCAGAGATCCCACCACCTTCTGGCCCCAACCAGCAGGGACTCTTGCTTAAATAAACACACTGTTTTGTCACTCCTAAGTTACTTTCATCTTGCTTGCTGACGGACCTTAATGTAACAGTAACAGAAAAACTTGTATCCCTCACAAGACAAGAGAAGGTGCCAGCTAGAGGTTGAACACTATCAGAAGAAGACCTGGAGTTACAAGGTCTTCCTCTAGAGACATTGGGTATGCTATCTGGCCATAGCATAACCAAGATGTATATTTTAATTTCTCCATTGGACTGCGGGAAGGTTTAGAGGCCATACTTTTCCTTGTTCCAGAGGCTTTCTCCATCCTGGGGTAAGGGACCATTTAGAACTGCTAATGGCCCTTGAACAAGGTGCACAATATACCCCAAAGGTGACTTTTCCCCATTATTTGGTTGAAGAAATCTTTATTCCTTAACAAACATGGCCATGGTCTATAAGCTGATATAGATCGCTGACAGCTCTCTAATTCAGCTTCACAAGGTGTAGCAGGAAGAAATCTGAAACTAAACCATATCAGAGGAGGAAAAAACTTGTACCTTTTCTGACTGCAGCTGTCGTTAACTGAGGGGTGAGCTTACCAGGAATGTGCTGGAATTTCCATCACTTTGAGTAATAAATCAAGGCTGGATGTCTTTCAAAAGGAGATGGTATACCTCAAACAGAAGATGCAGACCCAAGAGAGGAATTGCTGAGTGAGGTTCTATGCCCTGTGTTATGCTGGGGGTCAAAGCGCATTATCATAATGGTCCCATCTGGCCTTAAAAAATCTATGAGTCAAATTCTACACCGAGCAGAAGTTATCTGTGGATTTTATTTTGATAGACTATTTAAAGATGCAGAAATAAGTGTTAATATTATAAGAAAAAGTCTACAGTACTCAAATCAGAATGCATCTTTGCAATTCTCAGTCAATCAGCTCACACCATCTGCTAATGGTACATTATTAATTTTGGTCTTGGAGCTTTGATTACAATGATTGGACATACTGGGCCCTGTATTGTATCTGCATTTTTGTGGTGCTTTCTGTTCCGGGACAAGACTGTGACAAAGCTTTTAAAAGAGAATCAGAACAATTTAACTTCTCTAACATGTAGTGTCATTTATTTAATTATATTTTGCTTGTTTGGTTATGTATTTTGTGGTGGAATAGAGAGACTGAAACAGAAATAGAGGACAAAAAATAAACAGCTGGGATAAGCAACACGTTTCTGACATCAGGTCTGAGATTTTCAGGATGTGCTCTATTGAGATATGTGTCACTGGCTGCATAATTTTTCTCTATTTGACAGCCAAACTCCGGGTGAACGAAGTTGGTTTTGGAGTCCCTACCTGGCAAACAAGCTTGATTTTTTTTTTTTTAAATATAGTTTTCCTGTTGTCCTGTTGGGAAAATGAGAGGGCAATAGGCAATTTTGCAGTCCATGGGGAAATTAGAAATATTCTTTATCTCCATAGTGGAATTTTAAGAATTGGTAATCAAAAAATGCTGGTATTCAGACCTCATCCGAAACCTAATATAAGAATGAATTCTTAAGTCTGTGCTCCTCTGTTTACACTTGTCTACGATCAAAGCAAATAAAATCAATCTGCTAGGATTTTTTAGATATACTTGGCTTCTCCAAAAAACGCATTTTCATATCATGTAATATTTTCACACATTTCCCAACTTTTGTCTGGAAAAACGGAGTGAGAGTTCTTTTTCAACACCTAGAGATAAACTATAAGAAGACATTCAGCATTCCTGAAATGAGTGCGTCCTTGCTTTTCCAGTGACAGTTTTCTGTAACAGAGAATGTGTCATGCAGAACTGTTGTTTCGCCTGTTATGTTTCCCCCAAAGCCCCATTCCCTCTCCACCCAGCACGGTGAATAACTTACAGTGTTAGTTGCAGCAGCTGGTTCCTGATGGATCTGAACAGATGCAGTTCAGTTCTCTGGTGCCCCTTAGTGTTAGGTCTTGGAGCTCAAGGGAAAAAAATAAGGCTATAAAATAATATCTGAAAATGAAGAAGCTGATTACATGCAGTGGCGGAAAGTATCTGAAGTATATACTGTAGCTGCTTTCTCTCAAAGCTCCTTCAACATTTTGTTATCACAAATCTGATCTAAATAGCAGAATTTTATTTAAACTAGGTTAATGAATTATATGAATGTGAAGAAAAAGGACAAACTTTCCTCAAAAATATCATTACAGAAGTATGTCCCCATATTCATCATTCATCCTAAATAACTCTAGCGGCACAGAATACTGGCTTCACTTTGAAACGACGCTTTTTATTGGGAATATTTATTACTCATGTTCCAAAGCTTGGCAAGTGTGAGGAACTCATGGAAGTCTGTCTCCCTAGCTGGTGGAGTCACCAGATGTTTCACAGACAGATCTCCTTAAAGTAATATAGTTCAGTGTCAGCTCTGCAGTACAGTGCTTCAATCAATACAATCAGAGCTCATGTTCTATAATTCTTTGACAAATAATATGTAAGATAGCTAAATTATCAAGCACTGAGGACAAAGTCTAACAGAATGAGCATGCACAACATTCAAGAGACTTGAAGCTCTGGCTTAACCTACATACCATGTGTTTTCTTTGTGAAAGTACTTTAGCTTAACACGCAGAAATAATTCTTGACATAACATGTTAATGGTAATAAACACTTGTCAGAAGAGAAGACTTTACTGTTTCAAAGTAAATATTCTTAAATTTTTGCCTAATATCATGCATATAGTAATTTCCTGCATTAGTCTTTTGCTTTTTTTTTTATTTTTTTGATACAAAATTTTAAGGTCTGAAGAGCTGTATATAGGTCTTTCAGATGATTTTAACAGGTTTGAGAGCTGTGTCTTGTCTTTGCAATGTATATTCTTTATATAAGAAAAAATGGATTTTCTAATTGCTAAGCAGCACTTCTTTTTGTAAAATCTTGCAGCAGGCTATTTTTAAAATAGTAGATTTAATTTTATTTTTGGGTTGACTGGTTCTACTGATAGAAGCAATTGTTGCAACAATTATTAACAAAAATATTCAGTTAAAACCTTACATTGGAGTGTCATCCAGCACTTCTAATACTAAGCAAACATTATCAGGCCTTTTACTAGTTCCTCATATTAATTATTTTTTACAGGTTAAACAATTTGTATTCAATAGGAATATCTTCACATTCTTTGTAGGCAAAATGATATGTCAACTATGTGCTTTAGCATCCTCAGAGTTGTATAATTTTAGTTTCATTCTAACTTCTTGCAACAAATTGTGGGTATTATTTTACCCATTACCTGGGAAGGGAGTCAGAGATTTAATTATCTGAGTCTATTTGCTGAGAATAATATCCATGATGGTTGTAAGACACAAGCAAGTTAAGAACACTGAAGAATCCATTTTATTTCACATCAAATTCCTAATGTTTTAGTTTCCCATTCAGTATTTTTT